TATATGAAAATTGAAAACAGGAGTGGTCAGAAAGATTCTCCTGAGGAAAACCCATCTGTTTCAGGTAGCTCAGAGAAAGCATTCCAGTGGGGAGGGAGAAATACTGTTGATTTGGAAAAAATTCAGGCCCAGGAAACAGGCAGACTCTCCTTTCCTAATACAGTTGCAAGGATATTAATTAGCAAGGGTTACGTTTTTAGAAAAAAATTAATATATTGAAATGATAATGATTATAATATTTACTGAGTGCTCACTACATGCCAGGCACTGTTAATACATTTTCCATAACTGATTTAATGCTTACAAACACCAGATAATGTAGGTACTATTAGTACACTCATTTACAGATGAGGAGACTGACAGTGAGAGACTAGGTATTTTGCTCAACTTTATATTCAAGAGTCTGCCTTTTAACCAATTAGACAGTTATGAAAAGGAGAACTGGGACTGCAGCTTTACTGTCTTCATCCTGCTCTCAGAGCTCATTACACCGGGTACTTGCTGCTTTAATTGTTTAACTACCCTTTAGATGTACTCTTTCAAAACGAAGTTAGTAGGCATCATATTTATGGGAAGTTATTTTTGTGTGAAACTGCTTTTATCCCTTGGGTCTAGAGTCTCCGTGTTCTCCGTTCTCATTTTGCAAATTAGAGTCTGAAATGGGGAAGGAAGAATCTATCACAAGTTAGGATGTTATAAAGGTTCATGATGATTACAATGATTATGAGTTAATTTAGAAGTATTTTAGTTCCATAATAAAAATACTAATGTGAGGGTTCAAACAAAGAGTAATTACATTCATTATTCTGCAAAAGTAAGTTAGGAATTGACCAAGGAGGAAGGAGCTCAGACTATTTGCATGAGAAAGCCGGCATTGTAGAAGGTGCATGTAAAAAAAAAAAAAAATACTACTACGTATCTTAATAAAAAAGTCATGTTCCAAGACATTTTAATTGTGGGTTGCCTGAGTGCTTGCTATGAACCTAAAGGCAATATATATATATGACAAGGGACCACGGGACAAGGAATCAGAGAGTATAAACTACTAAGCCATCAAGTCCTCTCATCAGAGTTAAGTAGTAGAACACAAGCCTGAACAGAGTGCGTGACCATTTCCAAACAGGAAACAGTACTGCAGCATAGACTGTTTACTCATCGGAAACAATGGGAGGTTGCAACACCCCTAGCGGGAATATCCAGGCCTCGAAAACCAACCATTCTTTCACCTTCAACCGTAAAGACTGAAATTGCACCTGAAGTCTTCTCTCTTGATCAGATTATGCCAGTGAGCTCACCACACACTGGTAGCCCAAACCCTTCTACAGTTTGTAGAAACACACTGACTGGATTGCTCATTTGTGTGTGTGCGTGTATGTGCTTTTGTGTATAAGAGGGAACAAGAGAACAGATGTAACTTAGTGATAAGAGTATGTACACAAATCAGAAGGTTTGTGTTTTTTATTGTGGTAAAAACAACAACATAAAATTGACCACATTAACGCTTTTGAAGTGCACAGTTCGGTAGAGGTGAAACTGTTCAGTGTGTGGAACCAGAAACTGTACTCATAAGACAATGACTCCTCTTTTTTCCCTCCCAACCCCTAGCAACCACAATTCTATCCTATCTCCACACATTTGACTACTTTGGATACCTTATATAAATGGAACCATATAGTATTTTATCTTTTTATTACTGGCTTATTTCACTTAGGATAATGTCCTCAAGGTTCATCTGTGTTGTAGCATGTGTCAGAATTTCCCTCCTTTTTGAAACTGATTAATATTTCATTGTATATATATATATATAGACCAAATTTTGTTTGTCCATTTGTCTGTCCATGGACATTTGGGTTGCTTCCACCTTTGGCTCTTGTGAATAATGCTGCTATGAACATGGGAGTGCAGGTATCTCTTTGAGACCCTGCTTTTAGTTCTTTTGGCTATTTATCCAGAAATGGAACTTCTGGATCATATGGTAGTTCTATTCTTAATTTTTTTAAGGAACAGCCATACTGTTTCCACAGTAGTTCTGAGTTGTTTTTAATATTAGTCCTCGGAGATCTCACTCATAGATGGGAGTTCTCTAATTTGAGAAGAGGAAGACGACAGGAGAGAAAGGAAGGAGCAGCAGGAGCCAGGGCCTCCTTCTGCACTGAAGGGGCTCCTCTCTCTCACCCAGAGCTTCCCTTTGTGGTCTGCTCTGTCCTTTCCTTCCTGTTGCCCAAAGAGGAATGTGATCACTCCCTGAGGCCACCACACTCCTAGCCCCTGGTGGTGGGCAGAATAATAGCTCCCTTCTAAAATGTCCACCCCTTGATCCCTGGGCCCTGTGAATGTGTTGTTGCAGGACAAAGGGACTTTGCCAATGTGATGAAGGTTCCAGACCTCAACCTCAGGACATTATCTGGATTATGTGGGGGGGCCCAATTAGTCACCTGAGCTTTAAAAGCAGAGAACTGCCTCCAGCTGGAGGGAGAAAGGGAAGGTAGAAGAGAGATGCTCCAGAGGGAAGACCAACAGATTGCATGCAGGAGGACTGATGCACAGTTGCTGTTCTGAGCTGCAGCGGCCATGTAGGAGGCCTGGCAGAAGCCTCTAGGCAGCGGTTCTCAACCTTCCTAATGCCACGACCCTTTAATACAGTTCCTCATGCTGTGGTGACACCCAACCATAAAATTATTTTCGTGGCTACTTCATAACCGTAATTTTGCTACGGTTATGAATCGTAATGTAAATATCTGATATGCAGGATGTATTTTCATTGTTACAAATTGAACATAATTAAAGCATAGTGATTAATCACAAAAACAATATGTAATTATATATGTGTTTTCCGATGGTCTTAGGCGACCCCTGTGAAAGGCGACCCACAGGTTGAGAACCGCTGCTCTAGGGGATAGGACAGCCCCTGATGACAGCCAGCAAGAAAACAAGGAACCTCAACTGCTAGGAACTAAATGTGGCCAACAACCTAAATGAGTTCAGAGGCGGATCCTTCCCAAAGTCTTCAGAAACACAGCTCTGCCAACTGCTTCGTTTTAGTGCCACGAGACCCAGTTTGGGCTTCTAACATGTAGAACTGTGATGTAATGAATGGCTGTTGCAACAGGAGATTAATGTACCCTCTCTCACGCTCGCCTGGGTCTCTCCAGCTGTTCAGAAATGTGCCAAGACTTTGACAGTGTCAGCCGGAGAGTCTGACCAACTAACTCCACACCTGTTTACTAATGGACAAGGGCTAGAGGGAGATTTTTTTTTTTTTAAATACCAGCGTTTTTGAGAAATGTTTTTTTTTTTTTCCATCTGATTCTACTAGATATCTATAATAGTAGCAGGGATTTCAGACCTGGAAAGAGGGGAGGGGAGGTCAGCCTCTTGGCCAGTGATACAGAAGTAATATTGGGGGCCATATAACAGCATCCCTTCCCCTGACACTGCTCATGTAAGGGCTGGTCACCTCCCCATACAAGCTATTCTTTAACCCTCCTCTGCCCCTTACTTATAAAATATAATGTATGTTCATTGTTGAAAAACAATGAAAGCAATCTGGGACTGCTGGCTCCTAATCGCTCGCATGCCTGATTGCCCTTAACTGCCTCTGCCTGCTGGCCTGATGCCCCTAACGGCTCCCCTGCCTGCCTGATCGCTCCTAACTGCCCTCCCCTGCCAGCCTGATCGGCCCTAACCGCCTCTGCCTCGGCCCCTGCCATGGTGGCTTTGTCCGGAAGGATGTCTGGAAGATGACTGGTCTAATTAGCACATTACCTTTTTATTAGTATAGATTTTATTCATATCCCATCTCTTTCATTTCAGTACTTTTATCCACCTGAAATTTATTTCAATGTAAGAAATGAGACGAAATACAGATTTACTTTTTTCCTAAATGGCTAGACGTTTTCCTAGCATAATTTATTGAATAAGCCATCTTTTCCTCTGCTATGAAATATCATCTTTATCATATAGTAAGTTCCCAAATAATGTACTAAATAAATTCTCTGTTATTGACCTCTCTGCTTTAGTGTCATCATAAATTATTTTAACTACATACCTGTACAATATATTATTATTATTTTGGGACATCCACGAGCTTTTTGGGCGTGTTAATTTTTTTCAGATGAACTTTTTAACAACTTTCAAAATATTTTTCTTTGTATTTTGATTGGACTCAGGTAAGTTGTTGTGTTAGGAAGATTTGATTTTTACTTACCCAGAGAGATGCCATGCTATCCCACTTTTGCCTTGAGTTCAGATCACACTAACCTATTAAAAGAAAAAAAAATTACTAAATGGAATAAGCCTAGGATTCCAAACACAGTAAATTCACCAACTCTTAATCTTTAATCCAGAAAACAGAACCCATGTTCAAAGAGAAACCCCCTCAAGAAGAGGATGTGGCTTTAACATCAAGTAGCCCATTGGCTAAACAAACATTTACTCAGTGCCTACTTTCTACCAGAGGTGGAGCTAGACCAGTGAAGGGCTCAAAAAGAGAAAAAAAAAATCTCAGACTCAAGGGGTTTACACATATGTTTCCTAGAAAGCCAATTTTTGACTCATTTAAAATCCAGCAGAACTATTTTGATTGCTGACTTCTTTTAATCAAGACAGACTACCATCTAGGGAACAACGAAAACACAGGAAATTGTCCCCCATCAACATAAATTTTGGTTGGCTTCCATTTGATTCCTTGTGTTTGATTGTGAAATGTGCATTTACACTTTACAAGGCTCCAAGCCTACAGTTATAAACAGACCTTCCTGCTCCTTGGGAGGCAGTCCAGTCCTTGGGCGGATGCAGGGGTGAAAAGGGCAGCTCTTTCGTGGAGCCTCAATTGGGAACCCATACGTCACCATTATTCAAACATGCTGGCCTATCTCCAAGGGTTGACTTAGAAATGCAAGTTGCTCCCACCCATCCTTGGAACAAAACACTCTAAAAATACCATGATCACCTCAGAACAAAGTTCGACAGGAAATTACACCATTAGTCCCTGCAAATATTTAGCCCTGATTTTTCCAGGCCCTCTCTCTGTAGCAGAGGGTGGTCGGCTCTCTAGTTACAGGGTCTAACACCATCTATAATAATAAAAACGTAATATGCTAATTAGACCAGGCATCCTTCCGGACAACCTTCTGGACAAAGGCAGGGCTGCGAGGGAAGCCCGGGTCCCAGGTGCCAGAGGAAAGCTGGTGCCGGCAACTGGGGGAAGGAAGGCCTACTCTTGCAAGAATTTCATGCATCGGGCCTCTAGTATATATTCCTCTATCTATATAGTGGATACAAAGTATTACTAGTTTTGGTTTTACCTCCTAAAGCTAGACACAATTCATTTGACCCTCAGTTTCCTCATCTATAAAAAGGGGAGAGGAGGGCTGTAGCTGGCACTGAATAAAGTAACATGTATCATCATATCAGCTAGCTTTTTGAGTCCTTACTATGCTCCAGGTAATATGAAAGGCACTAAAAGGTTGATTTTGTAAAGCTAGACATTTTTTCATGTTTGCTCCCTGGGGCATACAAGGCAATATAAAAAACACCCATTGACTGAATGAATGATTTAATATAAGCCTCACAATAATCTAGGGCACTAAGTATCATTAGTAACATCTCCACTATGCATATGAAGAAGGTGGGGCACAGAGAAGTAAAATAACAGTCCAGTCATACAGCTAATAAGTAGGTATTAGGGGCAGAAATAGCATATTGGGGACCAGCCACAATTACAAGAAATATTAGTCATACTCTGTTAACTGTGATGGTTCTGTTCAGATTAGAGAAAGTACATTCTAACCTGGCTGAGAGTTGTATGCCTGGGACCTGGGAGCTAACATCGGATGCAGTCCATCCTCCTGTCCCGAGAACTGCCTATCATAATGGCAAGACTTACAACCTCCTGGCTGAAACAATCTAGTCCCCGAGGCGCCCGCCCTGTGCAACCCCCAGCCCCTATTGCCTGTAATCTGGTCCCAGGGCATCCGGAGGCACCCACCCTCTGCGACCCACCAAGCCCGCATGACTTATAACCTGTAATGATTATACCATGCCTACTTTCCATGTCTGTAATTCTTACTTTCTCATGTAATCTTTGTCCTTCTACCAAACATAAGCAGCTGGCTTATGGGGAGAGGCAGAGCAGATATTTGTGGATGACCAGCTGCTCTCCCATGCTGCCAGCAGTATTGGAATAAACGCTCATGTATGATTCAACCCTGTTTCCACTAAAGTGGCTCAAGTAGTGACAGGCAGCCCAGACCCCTTGGTTGTCCGGTCACATAGGGACTGAATTTAGGCAGCCATTCTCCAAAGATATGACCTTAACCACATGCTTCTGCCTTACCCAAGTGGCTGTTCCATACATGGTCAACGCTGATACTCAATATATGTTGATCCAGTATCATTTCTAAAGTATTAATAATTATTACTGATTTACGTTTTAAGAAAGAAATAATTACTCCACAGTGGAGGCCAAAAGGCCTAACAACAGAACTTTAAACAGCCTCTTCTGAAAGGGTTAGAGCAGTGACATCATTTCCTTTTACTTCCTCCTGCATCCCTGTTTCTAAACAGATTTCCCTACACAGCCTCATGGCTCTGGGAACAAGATTCTGGTTTCCTTTACATCTTTAAGTTCCCTTTCTTGTCAGTTTGAAGTTCTCTGCCTTCCTGAAAGCTGGTGGTGAAATTTTTATGAAAGAACGATTTAGTAAGTTACATTTTTTATGATGTTGATTTTTAAAAGTTGTAAATGAGGGCAAAGTCTTGCTGTCTGTGATCAGAAATCCTTGGAAAGAATTTAGCTTTGGTGGTGCAACTTCTTATCTCCAGCCACCCAGAACCTCTCAGCCACAATTTTCTACATAGGTGTGGTCATTTGCAATCAGGTGCCCATATCCCCGACCTGCTGACTCCGATGCCAAATGCCAGGAGAATGATTCACATCCAGGGAATAGAATTCTGTTGCAATAAAAGAAAATGATGAGCCTGTTTAAGAAAAAGCAAACTTCTCGGACTCCCAACGCCCAATATCTCAACACACTTTTCTACCTCCTAAAAAGAATAAGTAAAACACATGTTCACAAGGATGGGTGGGGTTCCGAGTACTCAGTACAGAGCTTGGAGCCAGCCTCTCCCTTTCCCAGGCATCTGGACCCCGAGGACCCTTCTCGCTCTTCGTCTCCAAGACCTTCCGGTCTGGGAAGGCTGAAATGATCAACTGGCTTCCTACTCGGTTAGCTGTGATGAAAAGTGAAGGGTGCAGGGCCTGGGACTGCGGGGTGTCAGCTAGCACCCGGGGTGGCCATAGCTGGGTGGCCCTCCCAGAGCGCGGCACGTTTGCTCCCCTGAGCTAGTGTCCTCGATTCGGAAATGTGGGATCTAGACTCTGTGCGCGCCAAAGCCCCGCGGATCCCGCACCTGTGCTGCAGGGTTGGTTGGCGGCGAAGGCGCCAAGTTAGCTCCGCCCGGGACCGCACGGCGCTCGCGGGGAGC